GTTCTGGTTTAGCCCAAACCAGGACAACTGGTCAATATGATTATGTACTAGAAGGTGATTCTGTTTCTTCTGCTGCTGTACCCAGGTTTTCATACTTCCTAGTTGTGTCTGGAGAATAGTTTCCTTGAAGAGTTTAACTTTTTTTAGCAGAAAGGGAAGGAAATATAACATCTCCTGGCTATTTCCATATATTCAGATGGTTAAGAGCTAAATAGCAGCTCAATTTAGCAAGGACTGACAGAGGAAAATCGATGTTGCAGTTGTGCTGACATTTCCATCCAGAACTGCAGGGGTTTTTAATACGCATGCACGTGTGGGTTTGTGTCCTCTTTCTATGAAGTGCCACATCATTACTAAATTTGCCTTACAGAAACATGATAAAGATGCAGAATATTTTTCAAATTATAATATTGGGGCAAACTATAGCGCTCTTCCTGTAACACGAGCACTTTTATCCCTGTGGAATGCTGCATCTTCCGTGCAGTACATTGACAAAGTCTTCAGCGCTCTGCGCTGAAGAAATGGTTTTATGTTTTTTTTTTCTTATAAAAATAAGTGAGATTAACGTGGAGATGGCCTTTCTCCTGAAGCAAGAATAAGTATGTTTTCCAAGGGGACTTGTGGTCACGTGAGGGATCAGAGTCTTCTTTTAAAGCATTATAATTCCTTTGTGTAGGGAGAAAAGACTCCTTTTGCAGTTCTGCGAAGGCTTTTCATTCTAAAATGGAGACCATCTGTTGAATCTGTGAGTTGTTTGTATGTCCACCCATGAATGAACATTTCTCTGTGCTATGTTGTATAGAGATGACCGAATCGTCCCAGAAAATGCTGGTATTGTTTACCAACAGAAAACTGTCACTTCGGATGTTTATACTGACACAATGAACGCTTGGTGTATTATATTCGCGACCCAGATGTTGTCACTCTTCTTTGAATTAAATTAAAAAATGTATGAAGAAAGCATTGCAAATTAACAATGCAGAAATTATGTTCACTGAGTTATGCTGCTTCTTTAACAGGTTACGATTTTGTTCTGTGGCACTACAGTAATAGATTCTTATATAGGATAATCAGGGTAAATTTGTTAATTTTTCTACTTTTGCATGGAAAGCTTAGATAGTAATTTTGCCTACGAACAATTCCAGATTGTTAAATGAAACCCGCAGTACAACACTTTGGACTCACTGACATGGGTACACCGCGAACTCCCAGCTCAGTGAACCAGCCAGTCCTGCCTGTAAAGTCCTGTCGGTTGCTCGGTGTATGTATGCTGCAAATCTAATTCTGAAGGTTTCTGAAGTACTTTGTAAATTTAGGTACGCGTGCCCCTGAATGCAGAACGGTGAAGTACTAACATTCGAAATGTTGCAAAAACGCTTTCTGGGACTAATAATAGCTTGAAAATGAGTGTCATCGTATCGGTCAGCCTGCGGGATAAGACTCCTAGAGGCTGTTAATGGTTCCACTCGTAAAATGACCCAACGTACCGAATTACCTAATTCCCTTAGCTCCCCACTAGTACGTGTAGCTGAGTAATTGTCCAGTTTAGCTGTTTCCATCTGGCTGTGCATGCTCAGCACTATCTCTGTGAGATCAGACTGTGTGACTATGATATCCTGCAGAGGTCAAAACAAGCTTTTTTAATACTGACAGTACGACCTCCTCAGTTACAGAGGAGGAAAACAGTTTCAATATGCTGTTTCCTTTCTGTATTTTTATTCAAGGTGTGTTGTGTTTGGGTCTCTAATACATGTTTCTATACTTAGCTTGTCCTAAAATAAATATTTTGATAATACGAAAGCATCCCATTGAATGATATGTTTATATTCTTGTAAGCCTGCTAATTTCATTCTTACTAAGAATTGGTGTAACCTGTGGGGTTTTTACTATTATTTGAAGCGTGCTGTATTATGTAATAGATGGAAAAGTTATTTGGCAGTCACTAGTGGTAAGATAATACTTTATGAAGCTGTAGTTACCTTAACATCTTTTGAATACAGACATATATTGGCTCTGTATTAATCTCTGTGAATCCATTCAAGCAGATGCCATATTTTGGGGAGAAGGAAATTGAGATGTACCAAGGAGCAGTAAGTAAAGCAGCCTAAAATGTACTGCAGTGTTCACGGGCATGTAAATATTCTTCTACACTGTTAAATTCTTGGAAGTATTTGTTTCTGGGTTTTGGTAGCATTGTATTAGCCTGGGAGAACTTGGCTGATATCCATTACCGTATATTGAGTCTTCAGTTGAATTAATCCCCTGGAACATAGGATTAGTGTTTCAAGAAAATACTGGTATTGATTAACTAATCCATATCAGGTTTCTCTCCTTGACGTGTCCCTCCTCCTGCAAAGGCAGTTTTTAAGCTATTGTGTGCTTCAAGTGTGGTGCACAATACAAAATGGCTGTCAGCGGGTTTGGAGGCTATGGCTTTAGAACTCTCAAAGTGAACAAGAACAATAAAAACATTGAGATGCCAAAATTAGATGCCGCTTTTGGAAATACACCTCGAAGAGTGAGTCAGCACGAGGATGTTAGGGGCTTAAAACTTGGTTTCCTGCCCGGCTCCAGTTAGGCATGCCCATGGATTAGGGAGGCCGTTCGGTTTGAAGGGGCTCGGTGGATGAAAATGAGACGAGCAGCACCAGGCTCTGTGTGGCGGTTTAGGTGGTTTATTGTTAGCATATGACCACTGGTGGAACAGGCCTAAATTACGTGAGTTTCTCTTGGACAAGTCCTATATTTCAAGCACAGACCATTTTTAGAACAGGGTGTTTACGATAGTTCAGGAGAAAATTGCGGATGAGAGAAAGATCAGTAACAGAACCCAGAAACTTTGGTTTGTTTTTATTAAATGAACAAAAAAATCCTGCGGAAAAATCAGTATAAAGTGGGATTCAGAATTGTTTTTCCAGGAAAAGGAGTTCTTCTAATTTAAATAAAAATCTGTGTTGCTCTTTCTGCGTTATTTAATGCTGTGTTGAAAAATCATTCTCTGTTTCCCCTCCTAGGCGCAGTATGAAAACCCACCGCACATTTACGCTCTTGCAGACAGCATGTACAGAAACATGATTATTGACAGAGAAAATCAGTGTGTCATTATTAGGTAAGAAAAAGATCTGTGAAAACATATTTTATCATCATCTTTTGTTGTTCTAACTTCAAGAAGCAGAAAAGTTTATTTTTTATTATATCAATAGTTATCATCTATGTCCATGACCACTGAACATTTTGGGGTTTTCTAGGATAGATAAGTACTTTCTGACCCTTCATTTTGTTTTCCACTGAAATCCTGATGACATCTTAACCACAAGAAATCTTTATCACATAGCCAGCTTCACACCCAGTACCAAAACTGCAATAACTTGAATTACTGCATCAGAGAGATGGATTAACAACTATAGCAGCCACAGGTACTGTTAAATCCAGCTCTCACACTGACTATGTTTACCATACTCTGGTTTTAGTACTATGTCTTTTCTTTTCCCTGTTAAAAATAAATGTATTTTTGTTCCTTTTGGAATTCTGCTTGCATTCAGTCAGAGACAAAAGGAGAGAGGTACTGGAAAATTCAGTTTTTTTCTTCACTGTTACTCTATTTTAATTATTAGGCTGAGGGAATTCACTGTAGAATTATTACTGAACTTTTTTAATGACAGGCATTACTTAAGTCACAGTCAAAGTGAGTTTTGGGTCCAAGGGCACGCTTTGTTCCCATCTGTGGGTTTAGAGATGGTGTGTGATAAAAGAAGGTGTGCAGAGAGCAAGAACTGCAGGGTATTGGAGCTGGTACACGGTACCTCTTCTGCCTTCCCTTCTTAAACAGAAAACTTCAGAGGTTCACTGTAGTGCACCTGGAACTGCACTTCACCTGTGGCAGTGCTCTCCAAAGTGTGGTGCGTGCATCCCAGGGGCTATGCAGTGAAAGCCAGTGGGGTGCGGAAAGAAAATACGAGACCTTCCGTAGTAGATGTATGTAAGTTATAAATAGATAAATTATATACATGTATTGGGAGCGTGTGAATGATGGTGTGAGCGATCAAAAGCATTTGGAGATCCCTGGCCTATGAGACTTTCCCAAGAACTAGGGAAAGGAAAGAGGAGAAAAAGAATAATTCGAAGGGAAACTGTCATTACTTTATTAATGATAGCTTTTCTTAAGCTTTCTGTCATCTCTCTGTGGAAGACGCTGAGAGGCAGCACTAGGAATTGAACTGCAGTTGAATTTAACAAAAGAGAGGTTTCAAGATGGAATGTTTTCTTTGTCCAGGGGGCCCTCTCTGGTCTCCTCCCCAGGGTGGCGGTGTGCCCTGCAGTGTCGCAGTCCCAGCAGGCGGAATGTCAGTGGTGGTCACCTACCTTGTAGCGGCGTGCACTCCGTCCCTTGGGGGGAGCCTGCCAGGCACGGGTGGGTAGTCGCTGGGGTTTGAGCTTCAACGCCCTTGTGCCAGCCGCTTGCTGATGTAGTGTTGTTGGAGGAGTACTGTAAAGAGCTGGGCTTAGTGTGTGGGTCCGACGTGGGGAGGTGCTCCATGTGCAAGCATTCCTGTGCCCTACTGGATGATCCAGTGAGAAAATAGATTTCATATTAATATATCTCACTGATGAGCTGTTATGAAAGCTTGTGAGGAATCAGTGTTGGAAAGTTATATTCACTCTTTCATTTCTTTGAATTTATGCCGGGGATCGTGCACACGTGAATCCCTCTGAGTATCAGCCAAGTGTTTGTAGGTGTGTGGAAACCAGAGATCTTACACGCAGGAAAGTTGACCCGGCGTTCAGTTTGCCGCACCGAGCTGTGCTCCCGTCAAGGCCTCCTGCTCCCGGGCCCCTGGCTGCAGCGTGGTGCCATACGGAACGAAACGCCCAGAGCTCTTGTTCTGCCCCTCATGTACCTGAGCTGGGCTCTGAGCACAGTCTTCCTGTTTGGAAAACTGGCGCCTGTTGCCACGCTGGAGTTGTTAGCCCTATTTAAGTCGAATTCAGACCTGTTCGGAATGGGTAAAATTGGGATTTATTTTGCTTTTTGAACAAAGTGACATCCTGGAGCCTGGGATGTTTTACATGAAGCCAAATTTACAGTGAAAACCTTTAAACTGCAGTGAACTGGGATTAAAAAAACCTATTTTCTGATCCATTGATAATGCCTCAAAATGCAACGGCTGCAGAGGGTCACATTTTCAGAGAGCCGAGATGCAGGTCTGAGATACAGACTTTCACGTTTAAATGCACGTCAGAATTCTTGTGCTTGAATGCTGGATGATGCGCTCTTTGAAGCGTCCGCATTTTGTACGTGCAGCGTGAACTGTGTCTCAGTGTGTGCACAGCCTATTAAAAATCTGCTGGGATTAATTGAAATCTGCTGCAAAACTGAAACAAGAAAAAACCTGTTTGCCAGGGACGTTACAGAGAGTTCCTCTTCCTTCCTGCACGTTTAGTTTTTACGATGATGATGATTACGAAAACTGTAAAAACAGCGGACTAAACTTACAGGTAGTTTTCACGATGGTATTTGATTTTTTGGGATACTTAGAAGCTATTTTTCTGAAGTCGAGTAACTCAGTCATTCGCAAAATTGATTTTGTTTAGTTTACATTTCATTTAAACTGTTTAGATACATCCTGTATTTTCTGATTGTAATGTCATTGCTATTTCTGACTGGAGCTGGCTTGAGAATGAAGTTTCTTGAAGTTTGGAATTTGTATGCTTACATTTTATTTCACAGACCAGAAGGCATGGGAATTGCTCACAGACTGGAAGCTCCCAAGATGGTGCAGCTTTTGGGTGAAATGAATGTTCTAGCTAGCTTCATGTCTACTACCACACCATCAGTTTCACTTAATAGCTGCCAAGGACTTTACCATTTCTGCCCCTAAACTGGTGATTCTCAAAAAGTTGAGATCTAGTTTTGTCTGTCTTCAATTCCACAGAAGTCTGCTGAGTGATTTCCACTCCACCTGTGTTTCAGATAACCATAGTTTTTGCCGTAAAAGTTTGTCCTGTGGAAAACAAGTGGTGATAACAATATGGTTATGCTAAGGTGCCTGTTTGCTTCTCTGCTTCTCAACTAGTCTGAATTTGGAGTGACTTCACTGAAAATCCCTGGTGGAATAGAAGGAACAGAGCAAGCTAGTACAGAAACAAACTCAGGTTTTTCCTTCTTTCCCCCACTCAAGATAGCAGGTTTCCCCGCTAAAGAAAGGTTTGCAAAGACAGAAGGTAAGAAGTGGTTCTGTGAGATGAGGTGTAGGCTGGACTGGTTCAGAGTTAGGTCAAAGATGCTACATGGGGCCTGTGGTGCCCATGGACTCTCGGGAATGGGAGACACAAGGATGACGGGGAGGGGGTTGGTGCACACCTGTGTCTTCCTGCGGCATGTGGTTTGGGCACCTGTGGCATCTGCCTCCAGACCTGGGAGGGGACATGATTCCTAGAGCCTAGACATCGATTTCCAGGCAGGTGAAGGAAGGGCCCTGCAGTGTCCTGCTGTAGTTGGGACCCTGTGTGTGTGTGTGTGAGGGTCACGCACCCTTTTGATGGCACATTTAACTCCAGAATGTCAACTAACGCATTTGGACACTGGTAGAAAAAAATCTCACCCTCTTCAAAAAGTCAGTGAAAGAACTAAGAAAGCAGATCCAAAAGAAAATACAGTTTTCTGAAAGGCTGAATAGACGGCTACCAAAAATAATCTTGTTACGTGATAATACTAAATCTGAAAAGGAACACTGTTACCAAACAGCCTTTACAGGGCCAGGGCAGCCTGTTTCCTTCGGGGAGCAGTTGCAGCACGTGTGCGTTCAGAGGATTCCGTGTGTGCACGGATTCATTGTCACTGAGGACCCGTGAGCGAGTCCGAATGGCTGTTAGCGGGGCGAACAAGGAGGCTGCTCCTGGGCTGCGTGGGGCTGGGCTGCACCCAGGTGCAGAGCCTGTGCTTCGGTGGGAGGAGGGAGCAGCCCCCGCAGTCGCCTTCCAAAGAAGTTTACTCGCCTGAGCAGCGCAGTTACGCTGGAGTTGGGTTTCTCGTTAAGTTTATGTTTTACTGAGGCACGATATTTAATTTAAGCGTCTCTTGAACCGAGCTCACAGAAGTACTACAGCAGCCTGTTCCTATTTCTGCCTCACTTGCAATGGCGCTTCCAAACTGTCAACAAGGAGTTGCCCATTCAGGACTTTAATTATGAAGGATTGTCTGTTGTGGCTTTTCATTCCTTCTGGACTATCATTGTCCTTTAATTAAGAGAGTGGAGGTTATGATTAGTATTTTTCTATTATGTAGCAATAAATGTGTCTCTTCAGAGAGTTCTTAAGGTTTTACCTTTCTATAAAATTGAGGACTTTATTTTCACTTTCTTTCTGTGATCTCTGCCAGGAGATGTTGCAGTTATTTTAAAGCAGTTTTTCAGTCCTCCTTGTTTGTAATTTTAGTTAATATTTGACATCCCTGTGGCAATGGTTGAGTACAGTAAAGCTGTGTATGATGCCTGCATACGTGGAAAGACAATATGAATGTATGTTAATAGAAAGATCATTTACCGCCCTGGCTGGTTTTAGTGAACAGCTCACGTCTGTCCTGAGTCTATTTGGTTCCAATTTGATAGAAGATTTCTAGTCAGCTTCTGTATCTCAACTTTGCAGGAGACTTGAATGACCGATCATTGTAGAATGTCTGTACAGAATCTAACTGGAAATGTGGTTGAATGTTAATGAGGAAGTGGTAGAAGCGTAGGTCTAACGCAGTAAGAGAAGTTAGGTAAAAGCTCTGATTTAGAAGGGGAAGACATTTCATTGAAGTTATGCTGCTGAGGTTTCTCTGAACATAGAGAAAGTAAATTTTCTATGGAAACAAACTAAAAAGCTTATCTGAACACACCAGAGTACTTTACATATGCAGTGTTCTTTACTGGTAGATCCAGGAGTTCTTCATAAAGATTTGTTATTAAAATTTCTACATTGTCCTGGCGATGTAGGTAAGTATTACTTGTATGGTTCTACAGCCAGGGTTATGGTATTAAATGTCACTCAGAAAATTAACTTTGGAGAGAAGTATGAGACTGTGTATCCAGATCTTGCTTATCTAACCCTAACCACTGATTGTATTTCCTCTGGGAAGGAAGGAAAGAGCAAAAGATTTTCCCTCTGCATTTGTAGCTTTATTCTGATTTCAGCTAAGTGTTAATTGACTTTGCTGAACAAAATGTCACTTTTCTGAAGTAGCAAATAGTGCTATAAGAAACAATATGTCTTTCAAAGCATTAGTTTTTTTGAAAGTGATTGAGACTATGTAATTTTTTATTTTTAGTAAGAAAAGTCTCTGAGACAATGCAATGCCACAGTCCACATACTTTAAGCCATTGTAATAATTTTTTCAGCCTTGAAAAACCTCCATACTTGAGACTACCAACCTAGAAAATGATTCTTGGATCTTCTTGAAATAGTTTTAATAGCAGCAGAGCAGGAAGGTATATGTGAAAAAGCTTCAGTATGAGAATCATTTGGCAGGAAT